TCCGCACCCTTGCTATTCTTGTCTTTTCACATGCTTCACTGGATCTGTTCCAGGACCTGCTGATAAGGAGCTGCAGGATTTCTCATTTCATCCCTCATTGTGTCCCAGAACCTGTGCTATTGGACTCCCTCCATTAAAGTAGAACTATAGACAAAGCAAGTAAGGGAGGGTTATGACCCATCCCTTTATTTCTTGGAAGCTGTCCCAATAGAGAGATTTACCTTCACTGCCTGTCCCATAGCCAAAACAGGAAGTGAGAAAATCTCTACAAATTAAGGGAATTCCTTGGGGACCCCCAGGTCTCCAAAGCTAGTGTTACCATTGAAAGACTGCTAATCTAGTACTTTTCTGGGGACAACCCGAAATTTGGGATTTTCTTTTACTTTCGATGATAATGGTAAACAGGACAAACAGAGTGGGTGAATCTCCCTAATGGGGTCACAGAAAGCAATAACACCCTGACAGGTATTCTAATCCCTCTCCACTCTATCCAAAACTAAAAAATGTTTTGCCTTAAGGTAGGTCATACATTATACAATTGTCCTTTAGTTTTACCAAAACCGTATAATATGAGGTCAGACCTAAACACTTTCCATTGATATGCAATCAGGCAGGCCCATGCACTACATAGTTGAAGGTAAATCTAAAGGAAATGGAATAAGAACATTGTATACTGTATGGCCAGGTTTAGTTATCATTTTTTTTTGGCAAAGTGGTATGTTTGAATGCTTTGTGGTAATTTGTATATTTGGTTCTATACAAAATAGTTTGTGGCTGGCTGATGGAATGACAGTCCCGCTAAAGCAGTCTCCTCCTGAGCATGATCTTCAGCCAGTGCTGTCCTGGACAGCAGGCTCAGGAGGAGATGGCTGCTACAGAACTGCCAACCCATTGACTGACTCTATTACCTGCCAGTTGGATGGTCCACACAATAGACCCTACCTGGGCTATGAGATAAAATCAGCAAGGAAAAACCAGGAAGCATAGAATGCTGATGTAACGAACAATCACTACTGTCCCTCTGTACATATACAGTGAAAAACTACACATAGTAAGGTTCACAAAACAGTAACAACTTATTGCAATTAAAATAGATAAACCAGAACTAGATGACTTTTAATTTGAAACACGAACACTTGCCTGTTTCCATTCGTTTTTTTCATCCTGCTGATGAGCTGTAGCCACATCCTGTCTACACACACTGGCTCCAGTATCACTGATCTGGACTGGTTCCACCATAATGGCAAGTATTGACCATGCCAGAGCCAGGCTCACCCCCCCCTCCTGCCCCTGCGATTATCCCTTACATGGCTGGCAAGAGGTTAAAATATATTCAAAGTCAAAACATTTGTTTTCATTCTGTAGTAGGGGATGGGTAAAACCGCTCAAGCAGGGGTGCAAACTCTCTGAAATAGGGATGCACCGAAATTTCAGTGGCCAAAATGTTTCGGACAAAAACACCCCTTTTGGCCATCGGCTGATGTGAAAAAAGCACCGATACTGATGCCGCAAAAAACCTCGCCCCCAGCCGCCGCTCGGTAGTTCTTAGCCTTACCTGAGAAACCATCGAACGATCCTGGTGCTGGGCATAGAGATTAGTGAAGATGGCCTCCACTCATCTCTATGCCCTTGGAGGACCAGAGCGATGTCACTTACGGTTCCAGCCATTTTTTTTTTTTTTTTTTTGTAAAGCGCTAGATCAGTGCTTTTTTTTTATCTAATGCTTTACATTGCAGAGGAGAGATGTGGGGTCCTATTGACCCCATATCTCTCCATAAAGAGGACCTGACACTAAATTATTTCTATCACAAGGGATGCATGCATTTCTTGTGATAAAAATAAAAGTGACAGTGCAAAAAAAAAAAAAAAAAATTTAAAAAAAAAAAAAAGTTTAAAGTGCCCCCGTCCCCCCTTGCTCACACGTAGTGGTGAACACATACGTAGGCCATGACCACACATGTAAATGGTGTTCAAACCACAGATGTGAGGTATCGCCATGAAGGTCGGAGCAAGAGCAATAAATCTCGCACTAGACCTCCTCTGTAACTTTACACTGCTAACCTGTAGAAATGTTTAAAGCATCACCCATGGAGTTCTTAAGTACTGCAGTTTCATGCAAATCCACGAGCGTGCGCAATTTTAAAGCGTGACATGTTGGGTATCCATTTACTCGCCGTAACATCCTCTTTCATATTTTACTAAACTATTATATATTTTTTTTTTTTTTTAATCAAAGTGTATTTTTTTTCAAAATATATATATTCATTTTTAAAAAACTGCTCATTTCGGTTTTCAGCCAGGTACATTTTGAATTTTAGGTTTCAGCACCAGAATTTTCATTTCAGTGCACCACTACTCTGAAGTTTGTAAAAAAAAATTATCTATAAAATCATTGCAGAGAAATGGCATTTCATGCTTATCTTTCATTTCCACCTGCAGAAGCTAGAGGTCTCCCTTGGAGCACCACAGTTATCTCAAAAGTCTAAAGCCAGCCATACACTATACAATCTCCTTTACACCTATCAAAACAATGAAAATGGAGGGTATGCCTCAGCAATCCAATCAATCAGGCCCTTACACTACACAGTTGATGGTAAAGCCAAAGGAGATTGCACAATCAGATTGTATAGGGTATAGCTCAAAGGATAAGTTCACTTTTATACAAAAAATAATAAATTCACATTTTTTTAGCAGGTAAAGAAATGTGCATTTATTATTTTTTCTTGCAAGAACCCGTAAAGCACTGCACCAGCTCAGCTATCGCTGGTGCCATGCAGGTCTCCTGCAGATCTGTCAGTATATCTGCTTGCCCTTACTGTACGAGGAAGCTACTGACAGCTCTGAACTACCATGGCGCTCCACAGCATCCTGGTAGTTCATTGAGAGCTACAAGTTGACAGCCGCTAAGGCAGTGAATGAAGTGGGTTGGGTGGGCTGAGCCCCGCTCAGCCACGTTCTTTTTAAATTTGACAGCTAGCAAGGGGGAAGAAGATCCCTCGCTAGCTGTCAAAGTGGGGGCGTCTGATCATAACGTTACACTCTGAATGTGGGTGTAACAATGTAACATGTGATGATTACCTGCTTATCCTTTTCTTTCACACCACTTGAACCAAACGCTGCTCTCTTTAGACACATGCACTTGTTAATGGCACCCCCACGTATATAACAGACGCAGGTGCGTTCAGCCCCATATCTCTACTTAGTATGGTGAGGCGCAATTTTAACATTGTGTCAGCCTTACTATCTGCATGTTGGGCAGCCCAATAAAATGAATAGGCTGTTGAGAACGTGCACGATCCAGTGTGAGCGAGCCGGCCCCTAATCACACAAAACTGAAGAAGGTGATGTATACTATCTGTTTATTATACTGCTACTCTGCTTACAATACTACAGGCCCAGGTTTAAAGTGGTTGTAAACCTTACACATAGAGAAGTGACTGGCCTCTCATGATAAACAGAGATGAAACAAATCCTCCTCCTAAGTTGTACCTGTATATCTGCATTTTCTTTCCTCTACAGCCTCCTAATACACTATTTTTTCACAGAATTCTTTAAGTGATTCTAAAGGTTGTATTTTTTTTTTCAATAACAAATATGTTGTACTTACCTGCTTTTTGCAATGTTTTGCACAGAGTAGCCCCAATGCTCCACTTCTCGAATCCCCCATGGGTGTCCTGGCCCTTCCCCCGTCGAGTGCCCCGAGCAAGCATGGCTCTGCCCCGCCCCCTCTCTCTCCTCACTGGCTCACTGTCTGTGATTGATAGTAGCCAATGGTTCTCTGGCTGTGACTGACAGAAGCCAATGGCTCCCACTGCTGTGTAAGCCAAAGAGGAGAGACCTGGGAGAGCCTCTGCTCTCATGCACATCGCTGGATTGAGATGGAGCTCAGGTAAGAATAAGGGGTGGTCAGGGAGAGCTGCACCTAGACGATTTTTTACCTTAATGCACAGAACACATTAAAGTAAAAAACATTCTGCCTTTGGAACCACTTTAGCTCCAGAAGGCAGGGGGTGGGGATCTGATATCACACACAGCACAGCATAGAGCAGGGTGAGTAATCTGTGACCTGAGTGATGGGAATGGGCACACCCCCACTACACGGTCTCATAGGGAAACATAGACAGCTGAGGAAGTCAGTCCCCTGTTGCAATGAAGGGGGGCTGAGCCATCTCCTGGGATTGCTGGTATCTGCAAAGACTGACTCATGTAGATAGCAGAGGAGTGAGACAGCAGAAATGAATCACACTAAGTGCTATAGATAGAGGCAAGTACACACTATAGATGGATGTGCTTTGTTCATTTTTCATTTCAGAATTTTGAAACTTTGGGTAGGAATATAAAGTTACCAAAATTGCACCGTCTGGACTTGCAAGGAACAACAACAAACAGAGGCCTAACCTAACACATTACCACTATACAGTTTTATAGAATAATTGAAGCAAGCAACATATGCTTTTCATTATCTTGCGTTTGTGAGTACATTACTTGCTTCATTTATTCAATAAAACTGTATAGTGGTAATGCGCTAGGTCAGTGCACCCTTTCTTTGCTGTTGTCTTTTATTGTTACATAAAGGGATACCGACAGTCCTGAGGGGGCAGCAAGACACATCTGCGCTATATCTATAAGCCAGACAAGAGGAGTCCATCAAACCCCAAAGCAACACACTCGAGCGCAGGAAGTTAATTTTGGAATTTCTTGGACTCACAAGGAAATTAAGGATGAACCATAAACTTCTGCAATGTGAGCAGAGTTGCATGTTTACATTGTGATAAACTAATACCTGGTATCTGCATGGGTGCTTGCACATGTGTCAAAATGCTGTGACCTTTGGAAAACAAGACACATAATCCACTAAGTGTTTGGATGGATCTCAGAGCTCCTCTGTTAAGTGACATTTACATTTGTAAACATGCAAGGAACCTTTGGCTCAAAGAGACAATGAACACACGAAGTGAGAAGTGAATAGCAGAAATCAAGGTTACCATGGTTACACATACTCTTTGTTGTGTTTCAAAGCCAGGTGATCGGACTCAAAGAAGTACACATCGGGCTCGTCCTCTTCCTCGTCTGCAGGTTGCACGCTGCCGCTATCTTTGGCGGGAAAGCGCCATACACTCTGTGCTGGAGGAGGCGCAGACAGCCGGCTTATCCTGCGAACACTTTGCAGAAGAACAAGTCTGCCTTTTGTCACTCGAAGCCGCCTCTTCAGCGGTCGTTACGGTTCCATTAACCGCAGAGGAAAGTCTACTATCCTCGTTGGAACTCTCCTCGGCCTGTCCATTCTCCCCACACGGAGAGGCGTTTTTGGATGAGCTGTCTTTGACAGATACGAGCTTCCTTGGTGAAGTTCTTAAGGTATACCTATGTTCTTGAGTGTCGGAAAAACACAGCTCAAGCGAGGGTCCCTCTGCCACCTCAGACATGGGGAAATCCCCACCACAAACAGGCTTGTCCTCCTGACTGAGGCTAGGTACACTGTGTGGGGATCGAGCAGCTTGTTCCTTGGAAATGCCATCGCCTACAACGTCAAGTTCCTCCTCAGAGTCCCGTACGATCAGTAGGGCTTCCGCGCAGGAAGTTGTTGATTCATTGGTCTGATTGACATGATCGATAGGTAGGCAGTTATTTAATTCATGGTCCTGTTTGTCTGCCTGTTCCTCAGAGTGCGTGCAAGGCACATTATGGTCTGAAAGACTGTCTGTCTCACTGTTAACGGGTGCAGAGCAAGGAGTCAGCGAATCCCCATTCTCTGTTAAGTTCGGGGAGGTGACCGTACTAACATTATTCTGTTTAACACTCCCATCTGAAAGACAGTTATTACAATTTACAGCAGCAGTCTCGTTGTTGTCAATACCGTTAACAATCTGATGGTTTAAACGCGTCACCATCAGGTAAGGAATTTTTTACAATTTCCTCAGACTCCGTTTCGGTTTTGATTTCCCTTTGGTTACTATCATCCAGTAAAAGATATCGATTAGCTCGTTTAGAACGGGATGTGTCTGTTTCATGGTCAGATTCAGAGTGCCTCCTTTCCGAGGGCTCCTTGTGAAATGTACCAGACAATTCTTCCTCCGGGCTACTGATTTCCTCAGAGCGAAGGTAACGCTTAATTTTCTTCAACACAGGCGACAAAGCTCCCGACGATTTCTTGTCGCTGTTTTCCACACTGTCTTTGTCGCAACTGTCCTTTTCTGAAATAGACAGGCCTCTCTTTCTTGGGCTTACCCAAGACTCCCGAGGGCTTGGCTGTTTGAGTTCGCTGCCCTTGTTGAGGCTTCCCTTTTGGATCTGAACAGGTTCTGGCCTTTTCTTAGGAGACCTAGACCTCAAAAGCGCCGGGGGGACGACCTCGTCAGGGTGAGCGATGCTGCGGTTTCTCAGGGTGCGACCACAGAAGTTTTCATCCAGCCCGTTTAATCCCACAGTAGATCTTGTGACACGAGTCGAACGGGAAGCAGCCATACTATGGATCACCCAAATCGTGAGATCGACATGATCCTCTCATTGGGAACCCTGCAAAATGCAAAGACAGCAAAAACCAATGTGAGACGTAATTTTACTATGTAAAGTGTATCAAAGCAATTTATTAAAGCAAATCTTCCTTCAAAAGAAAACGTTTTTACCCCAAAGGAAAGCATTGGCCTCCCAAAAATACAAAGGCAGCAGAGCACAGGCCCCTTCATATATGATGAGAGCAGAGCCCTGAAGCCTACCTATATAACTATCCAATATTGCAGGTTCTAGTATTTTAAAACTCATTGTAAACATGCACAGGAGGCTGCTTCATCACTTAGGCTCCGTGCACACTAGGATTTTTTTATGCTCCAAAAGCACTGGGGAAAAAATGCTGGTAATAGCATTTTTTTTTAGTAGCAGTTTAGGAGCATTTGCTTTTTTACAGTAAATATAGGGAAATAAAAGCTGGAAAAAGGCTGTTAGGAATTTAGCTACCAAAAACTATTTTTTTTTTTCTGCTCCTAACCGCTGAAGCTTGAAAAACAATACTAAGCCTAAAATAGTGTGCATGGACACTTAGGATAATCCTGTTTAGCTTCTAGGAGCAGAAAAAAAAAAAATGCTGATAACAGCTTCTAAAAAAACACTAGTGTGCATACAGCCTTAAAGAGGTTTTAAAGGCAGATTTTTTTTTTACCTTAATACATTATCTGCATTAAGGCAAAAAAAAAAAAACCCATCTGCAGGCAGCTCCTCCCACTAGCCCCTCCTTATACTTACCTGAGCCCAATCTGGATCCAGCGCTGTGCACGAGAGTAGCTGCTCTTTCCATTCTCTCTCCTCAATAAACAGAAATGCAGCAGTGGGAGCCATTGGCTTCTGCTGCTGTCAATCAGCCAGTGAGCAGGGACGAGCTATAATGGGCACAGAGCAAGGCACAGGATTGAGCCTGCATGAGTACCCTATAGCAAATGGCTTGCTATGGGGGCACTCCCATTGGGGGAGGAGCCAGGAGCGCTGGCAAGGGAGGAGCCAGGAGCGCTGGCAAGGGACCCCCAGAAGAGGAGGATCGGGGCTGTTCTGTGCAAAATGATTGCACAGAGCACGTACCTATGAGATATTTATTAAAAAAAAAATAGGTTTACAATTGCTTTAAAGGACAGCTTCAGTTTCAGCAAAAACTCCACAATCCACCCCTGCCCTTCTCACCAAATTTAATAGATATTTCCAGAAAACATGCTTCACCCACATTTCATTGCCCAGCCTGTCTTTCTTACATAAAAGCAGTGACCCCTTGGCCCTATAAAATGCCAAATGTGCCCCAAGCATGATAGAGGAAACAATCATAGATCTAAAATGCAGGTCAGATCTCACTGTATTTCTGTGGTGTAACAAATGATAGTAAATCTCTGTCACTAAAGGGCAGCACTGAGACAACACCTCGCACACCCACACATCACCACGTTTTCTAGTATCCCCAACCTACTGTGTGATTCGTACTACTTCATATTGTGTTGTGAGATTTAATCAAAATTAGTTTAAAAAAGTAAAAAAAAAAATTTCAGATGATTCCTGCCAACTTTCATTACCACTTATATCCACGGCAATTTTAATTTTTTTCACAAGTTAATACTAGCATGTTTCCTAGGAAAAAATTTTAGAACCCTCCCCTCCAAACATATATTTTCTGTAAGCCTTGGTCTTTTTGCTATTAAACATGTACAGCAAAAAAAAAAAAAAAAAAAAAAAATCTAATTTTGTCATAAATTTAGGCCAAAATGTAATCTCCTACATGTCTTTGATAAAAAAAAAATCCCAATACGTGTAAATTAATTAGTTTATGTGAAAGTTATAGTGTTTACAAATGGCGGTATAGATACTGGGATTTTTTTTTTTCTCACTAGTAATGGCGGCGATCAGCGACTTATAGCGGGACCGCGGTGGGCATTCTGACACTGGGGGGAACTGACTTGGTGTCACTGACATCCCCAGTGACACAAATAGTGATCAATGCTAAAAAAAAAAAAAAAGCACTGACAGTGTACTGAGGGGCGATTAAAGGGTTAACTGTATGCTGTTTCACTATGTGCTGTGTCTGTGTGCTTCACTGTAAGCACACTGCTTTGCATGCCTATGCTGTGCACAGCCACCCAAAGCAGTGTGCACGAGCTGACAGGGAGGAAAACTGTTTTGTTTACAAACAGTCCTCCACCCCGTCGAAGATGCTCGTCAATCACCGGGTGCTGGCAAGTAATGACAGCCAAGACCGTGAATGGTGGCGCGGGTAGGGCGCATATACCCCTCCTACTCGAAAATGCTAAATCATATATACACATATATACATACACACAGTATACATACAGCAGTATTTCTGCTATAGGGTGGCAAGAAGCGGTTAAACTATTTACATATGAGTAACAAGCAGTAAACAAGCCCTCCCTGACCTCTCTAGCTGTTTGTAATGTGAAGTAATTAATTTTCAAAGATCTTCTGGGCATGTTTGTTAAGCTGAACGGATCAACACAGACTCAACATAAAGGCACATAAATTGTTTTCTATGTCCTCTGTTCATACCATACATATCCAGTGGTGTACGCTGTGTAAAAATGTAATGTGCAAATCTGGAGGAGGACCCCGCTGGATGTAAACAGAAGAGAAGATTTTGGGGTCCCGGGAATACAGCTTTAAAGGATACGTTCCCCCTTGAGAACACATTACATGTTCCACCCGTTTTTAGAGTTTAATATGTTCCCGCTCCTGCAGTGGCTTGGTGATCCGAGCCCTCTGTGTGACAGCATATGGGTAGAAATTCCTTGTACCGCTGTCACTTTTTGAAAAGAGTGCAGCCAACTGGAAAACTGCCCACGGCCGCGTCATTGACTCACAGAGTTCTGTGAATGAGAAACTACAAGTACTGACATCCTTTGCGGCTGTCAGCTTGTAGTTCTCAATGAACAACCACAGCACTGTTGAGCATTCTGGTAGTTCATTGATTCTTCCTGTCAGTGTGTATCTGCCTGCCTGTACAAGCACACAGATACACTGACAAGTCTGCAGGAGTCCTACATTGCACCCGTGATCTGCTGATCACTGGTACAATGCTTTCCAGGCACCTAACACACAAAATAGCAAATAAACATTTTTTTGCACATGCAAACAAATGTCAATTTATTTTTATTACTGTTTGTGAACTCATCCTTTAAGTAAAAGGGGCTTTTAAATTACACTGAAATAGAACTAAATGCAAAACTCTTTATTTTGTTTTGTACAAAGTAAGGGAGGTTTATAACCCCTGTGAGTTTTTTTTTGGGGAGATACCCCTTTATCCACAGTCAAAACAAGAAGTTAGAGGAATTCCTAGTTGTCACCAGAACTAGTGTCCCCATTGGAAGATTACCCTTCTGTTCCTGTTCTGGAGAAAAGCCAAAATTTTGGCATTTTATTTCCCTTTACTCTTAGTGAGAACAATAAACCAGACAAATAAAGAGGTCGACTCTTTCTAATGGGGACGCAGAAATAAAAAACTTGACGGGTTACAACCCCGCTCAACTCTTTCTAAAAGTAAAGAAATTAAAAAATAAAACAAAGTTTATCCTAAGTTTTACCCTAAAGTGATAGTAAACACACACTGTTTAATTTACATTGCCCCTATTTCTGTATGTGAATGACGGCTCTGTAATTAATATTATTATAAAAAAAAAGGATCATCATCTAAGTACCTTTTTCCTAATCGATATACAGTTATCACATGACCCAGCTCTTTCCCAGCCTGTCTGCTGGGAAACCTAAGCAAGAGGAGCTTCTAGTCCTCTGCTGCTGGTCACATGTTCAAAATTACTTAAAAAAAAAACAACCTTTTTCGAATATAGAGTAAAAATAAATATCAATAATATGTTTTAAATTGTCATACAAACATATATTTGAAATTATATCTTTATTATTTTGAGGAAATAACATGGTGTGGGTGGGCTTCTGCCAGACTCAGGCTGTGTCACACCCCTCCAGCCTGCGTCTTAGAATAAGAGGGAGGTAAAGCCTCCATCAGTTAAGATGTAATATCCCACCCCCATTGTGTTCAGTTGGTCAGTGGGCAATGGAGGAGGGAAGCAGGGAGTGGGCTGTCATTTACAGCTGTGTACATGCCCACATGTGTGATTCTATAGTCACATGGTCTTCTCAGATGTGATAGGGAGGAAATTCTCAGCATAGAAACTCACTGAAAACTGAGCATGTGCAGAGTTGCCAATACAACTGCAAAATCCCCAACTGCAGTGGGGACATGGACAGAAGGTGGAGATAGAGAACAGCAAGATCAACCAGGTTTTTTGCAGAACACAGAAAACAAATCTCATAGTGACTTCCGAGTATGAACGGCATGTAATACAATATTTATTGATAGTTTTTTAGGATGTGGGTTTAGTGACACTTTAAGGCAGTGGTGGGGGTTAACCTGATCCCAGATTTCAACTGTACTTGTTTTCTAAAGATGTAATGCAATGAAGTGAAAGTTCTGCTTAAAAATATATCTCAAGTTCAGATTTATTTTTGAAAAAAAACAGAGAAGAGATAAAACTCTGGTCGATATATTTTAAATGTGTCCAATATGGGAGATTTCCCTTCACTTCTTTTTTCACAACAGGAAGTCAGAAGAGATCTCTACAATGTATCTCAAAACATTACTAATAAAACAGGTTTCCCTACTGGAATTGGAAGATTTAGTGTTGATTTATGGTGGCCATACATGCTTTGATCAATCAGTTTCTTTCCCAATTGTTCTCACCCAATATGAGAAATTGATAACCTACAGTGTATGAAATGCCACACACATGGATCTTGACGGATAGTAAGATACACTGCTGCATTGAAGTGCAATTCAACAAACATGCACCTAACCAAAGTGTGTTGCGGAAAATATTTTGTAACAATCGATTTTTAGGAACATTTTGGTGCGTTAGAAGTCCATTTATTTAATCACTTGCCCTCCTGAGGATTTACCCCCTTCCTGA